ACAATAAGAAATAAAACGAAGTGGAAAGTCACTTTTATTACAAGAGAACATCACAATTTTTATATTACAAGGGAACATTGCAACCTATGCTCCTTTTTCATCATCTTTACTTGAATGGTGCTAGATTGAGAAGCCACCTATATATATATATATATATATATATATATATATATATAGACTATGGGAACCAACAATTTATATAGTTTAAATGAGACAATAGTCACATTCATAGTTATTTTCATCCCCCTAAATAAACATAAAATCCCGTCATTTACATAACAAGGTGAGATGCATATGATGTGTACAAAATAAGTAGAAAGTAACATCATGATTTCTCAATGGACATTTTAGTCAGTGCACTAGCATGTTCATGTTTAGGGAGAGAAAAACTAAAGATATCATCATTGGTTAGTGAAACACAGGCATAAACTAAAGATATCAATACCGAGGGGCTTAGCGACAAAGGTGAGCACACGATTCATGAAATTGCCCAAATTATCAGTAAGCTCGCTATTGAGTTTTGCTTGCAAGTCCTCCCAAGAGAATCTTGAGTCTGATGTCTACAAAATGTAAACACATAGTCTCAGAAGAGGGGGAATAAATAAGGTTAAAAAAAAGAGATAGTGACTTCAACTGCTTACCTCTGGCCTAACACTAACTAGGTAATATCTCCATACTTCTACAGGTATATTTGTGTCTTTCACTTCATCACCAAAAATTCCTATACCCCTGCTCTTTGAAAATTTCCCTAAAAAGGCATAAAAACTGATAATTAGTTTGAAATCATCTTAAGATATAGAAAGCAAACGATGCAAGAAAAAATGCAAGAGCTGGGAAGGACCTGCTCCAAATAGAAGAAAGTGTGTAGCATGTATCGAATGAGGCAGGGTCCAGTTTTCCCCAGTGCCTATCAGATAAGAAGGGAAATGAGCCTGAAGCAAGGGTGACACTCAGGCAATTAGCTCTAATAAATAAAAGGGGAAGCATGAAAATAAAAGTAAAAAAGGTTTCAAAATAAAAAAGTTTACCGAATGAAATGAAACATTGTCTTTTCCCATGAATTGGTGTAGCTCGACATTCTGTGGATTTTTCCACCACAGCTCCCACTCGGATGTGTGACACTTTGTGATAGATATATAACCAAGGGGAGCATCAAACCAAACATACATCACCTGGTACCAAGAAACAAGGAACAATTAGAAACCATGCCTAGTATATTCAACACAAAAGGAATTGAAGCCAAACAAATTTGAAGATTTGAATTTCCTATATTTTACCTTGTCTTTGAATTTTTCAACAGGAACAGGAACCCCCCATTTAAGATCACGAGTTATGCACTTTGGCGGGAGTTTATTATCCAAACAAACAAGATTCTGAGTATCAGTCAATGCTTGATCATTCGAAAAATAAATTCTTTCAGAGAGGGCATGCACATCCTGCTGCACAGTTGCTAGTTGTAGAAATAGATGTTCTGTGGAGCGGAGTGTTGGGGTTGAACTCTGACAAATCTTGCAGATAGGGTCTAATAAATCTCGAGCATTTAAATGTGCACTGCAATCCTCACATTGATCGCCTTTACAAGATCCACGGCAGTGAGGGCAGTGACCTTCAACAAAACTGTCCGCCAAAAACTTCAAACAATTTTGACAATACAACTGGAAAAGAAAAGAAATCACAAAACTAATGAGTCATCTAGGCTGTAAAACATGATGCATAAAACTAACAACAAGCTATATGACCAACATTTTGTTTTCTTGGGTAGAATAAGTGATCTACATTACTCGGAATACTCGATCAATATACTATATCGGAATACTCGATCAATATACTATATCAAGCAGGTGCACTCTAAGCTTATTGAATTAGCAATTAAAAGAAACACTACTTGCTTCCTCCAAATTCATAACACCGCATGATGAACAAGGAAAATACAAAAATGCACAACTTATTATAATGTCTTAAAATCTAATTAAACCTCTGAATAGATTCCTATGACAATCATGAATTAACTAAATCGACAAACTCAAAAACAAGCAAAACACACCAAAATTACATAAAACCCTAAGTACTTAATTAATTAAATTAGCTTAATTATAATATAATCAATTATAAAAAAAACACATGAAACCCTAGAAGCTACTACTCCGTACATATAGACATATAGTTAAATCGATAAACGCATAGAAATTAAGCCAAATTATGATTTCCTCACCAAAAAAAAAATATATATTGATTAAAGTATCTACCAATTATAATTTACGAAAAATAACTCAAAAATGAAGCAAATTACTAACAGAAAAAAAAAAAAAAAAAGTTATCGATTAAAGTAACTATAAATTACGAAGCACAACACAATTATTACTCACTCACAAAAAAATACGAAGTAATCATAGACTAAACGAAGTAATCATAGACTAAAGCAACTATCAATTACAAACAACAACACAAAAATTAAGCAAAATTCAACACAACTAAACCCTAAATAAAAATAATTTAGTAAGAAGAAATAATTAAACCTGTTCAATTGTATCTTCCGCCAAAAGATTATTCTGAAACAGTGAATTGAACACTTGATGACAAACAACAGTGTGTTGATCAGTAGAAGTACGACCAAATTGATCAAAACTTATATCAAACCATTGATAAACCTCCTTATGCAAAGGATGGTACTTATCGCAAATCTCTCGAGGCAAAACATTCTCCTTAGCAGCCCTAACCTCGGTACTGGTACCGTATTCATCGGTACCGCAAACGAACAATACATTATACCCCCTTAACCGGCAGAACCTAGCGAACACATCGGCGCTTAGCACTGATCCGATTATGTTTCCTAGATGAGGCAGGTTGTTGACATATGGAAGCGCGCTCGTCACGAGTATGTTTCGCTCCCCGGCTTTCGGGAGCTTAACTGATGATCCCTCCATAACAAAATTGCAGAGGAATTTATTTTTTTGAGGGAACTTGCTTTTATAACGGCTGAAAAAAAAAAGGTCACTAATTTTTTGTTTTAATATATTATTTTTTATTTCTTCGATATTGCTAATGCTAAGAGGCGCCAGCAATAACAATAGTAGAATTTAGGGCTTGTTTGACATCATTTTTTGTTTTGAGTTTTCTAATTTTTTTTAAGAAAACTAAGAACCAAAAACAAAAAACAAGAAACAATTAAAAAGGTGTTTTCCACTTTTTTTTTTTTTTTTTTTTTTTTTTTTGTTAGTTTTCAAATTCATTATGATTTTTATAGGTTTAAATAATTTTTTATTCATTATGTGACATATATCATATACTTTTATACAACAAAAAATCAAAAAACAGAAAGCCACAGTAATGTCAAACGAATCCTTAGTAATTTATCTTTTATTTTTATTTAATTTTTGACAGGAATTAATTTTGGTTATATTTAGATTTGTTTTTAATTAACAAATTTAAACCCAAATCTATACATTTACTCTTATTAGGCGCCAATAATTATAACCTAAAGAAAAGAGAAGAAGAGTTAACCTCGTCGGGAAAGCGATGTTGTTGACACTAATAACTAGCAATGGCTCGTTAAGGTGTTGATGTATGATTTATGAAGAAGCAGAACTGTGATGTAAGAATTAACATTGGAGACGATTAATAGAGTTATTATCATTGGTTAGAAATGGACTTCTTTTTTTCGTTGATCAAACAATACAGAGATGAGAATTTTTTTATTTTTTTTTAATAAACTCTAGAAAACAGAAACTGATGTATGATAGGAAGTTTTTTTTATAAGCCCATACATCAACCTAATTTCAAATTCATTTAGGATACAAAACACAATATACATGATGAATATTAAAATCATTAATGGGATAATTAGGGCTTACCTCACAATTGAAGGTAGGAAAAAACGATGGGGAAGAATTTCAGGTCGTCGTGAAAACTTGTGAAATGGTGGTTGTCGTTTTTTTTAAGGAAAAAATGGTGGTTGTCGTTGGTGGATTGCTATGATCAATTGATCACTCTTTTTTTTGTTTTTTTTTTTTTTTTTTTTTTGTTTTTTTTTTTTTTGTTTTTTTTTTTCCAACTTTTGTTGACAGAAAGAACGAAGTGGAAAAAGAAGAGTAGCTTAAAACGCAAACTAGTTAATGACTTTTAACAGATTGAGGGATAACCCCGGTGAATAGGTTAAATTAGTATCCTATCTTACTTAGATAATATTTTCAGAATTATTTTAGGTGCCTTTATTGCCAAGGCAAAATAGGTAAAGAGTGATTTACTCAAAAAAAAAAAAAAAAAAAAAAAAAAAAAAAAAAAGTAAGAGTGGCTTCCAAGGCAAATTATACTCCATAATCTTTGAAAATTTAAATACATCAAACTCATTTTTTTTTTTTGGCAAAACACGTCAAAACTCATTAATTCGATCAATAAAATTTGGCAAAATTTAATGAGTGCCTTGAAGATAATTAAATAATAAGAGAAATAAAAGTAAAAATATTAATTATTAATATTACGAGTAATATTTTAGGAATTTACATACAAAGTATTAATTATACTCCGTACCATTTTCCTGTTTGGCACAAAATGATTTTATTTTTATATCCATCTCCACCTTGTTCACGTGTTAACCGGTTTAAAATTTAGGGCCTAAAAAACAAGGTCACTAAAATTAGACCACCACGGACCACAGTGCATGCGATGAGATGTGACTAATTTGACCCTTGATTAAAAGTGGACCCAACCAAATTGTACCAACTAAATAAAATGATCTGGGGTCCACGTTTGTCAATTGAAATCCTACGTGGCAAACAAACAGACATTTTTCTTTTCTCTCTTAGCTGGGTTTCTTCTTCGAAAAGGGTGAACTGTTTGTTACTCCGTACAATTTTTCTAATTAGGGATTTAGGGTTTAAATTTGGGGCAAAAATCGAAGTTTTTCAATTTCTTGGATCTAAATCGAGTTAAATTTTCTTCGTTTTCGAAATTTCTGGAGATTGTTTTGAAGATGAATTGATTAATTTTCCAGAAAAATCTTAACAATGGATTCTCCGGTGGTAGCTGTGAAAGATAACAAGCTATTAAAGGGAGCTTTTGCTGTCGGCGGAATCATGGTTACTCTCGTAATCTATGGTGTTTTGCAGGTAATTTAAACCCTAATTATGCCCGATTAATTTGTAAAACAATCAAACTTGATGATTTTCGTCTTTATTGTTATTTATTTTTGTCTGTAATGACTTTGTTGTTATCTGTGTTGATTTTTTCAACAGTTTTTAATGTTATTTTTGGATAATGTTGATTAACTGAAGTATATGAAAATAAGTTGCGAGCTCAGTAATTATAGTGGAACATTTTAAAAAGAGTTTTGTTGTTGATTTATATCTAATTTGCAATTAATATTTAGTGAAATTTAAGTTGTAATGAAATGTGGAAATACGATTAATTTTTGCAGAAATTAGTTGTTTTTGATTTGAAATCATCAAAAATCACGGCGATATGATTAAGATTGAACATTTGAAGGCAGCATTTGGTGTGATGAATGTTGAATTTTTTGCTTATTGTATTTAATAATTCAGTTGAAGAATGTTATGTTTTGCTTATTTTTGTGGTGTACTGAGCTGAAGATTTTGTGATCTTGCAGGAAAAGCTCATGAGAATTCCGTATGGGCAAAACAAAGAATTTTTCACATTCTCACTATTTCAAGTCTTCTGCAATCGTCTTACGACCTCAGCTGTATCTGCTGCTTCTTTAGTGGTAAAATTGTTATTGAATTGGTCTAGATATGTTGTGAACTGATTTGGCTGTAATGTACTCGACATTGCATATCTGCTGTTTTGTTGTGATGCTGATATGTCTATGTTGTGTATGAAATTATTCGTTAATTGTGTCGTGGTTTTGACGCTTGCCATTCATTGATTTGTTTCTTTAGGCGAGTAAGAAAGCTTTGGATCCTGTTGCCCCTGTTTATAAGTACTGCTTGGTGTCTGTAACAAATATTCTAACCACAACATGCCAGTATGAAGTGAGTAAATGCTCCTGAGATGGAAGTGAATTTGATGAAAATCATGATCAATTTGTTAATGCTGGAAGTTTGGGATCAGATTTTAAACCAACCTTCTTGCTTTCTTTCAGGCGCTTAAATATGTCAGTTTTCCTGTCCAGACTCTCGCAAAATGTGCCAAAATGATACCAGTCATGGTAAGTGGAAAATGACTAGTGCTAATAGCTTGTTTCAAAAATATCCAAAGGGCCAAGGCTAGCGATATTTCTGCATATCTTATTTATTAGCTTTCTTTGCTAGATGTTTGATCCACTCTTTTTTCCTTGCATTTGCAGATTTGGGGTTCTATAATCATGCAGAAAAGATACAAGGGGCTAGATTATTTGTGGGCTGTCCTTGTAACCGTTGGATGTTCTGTGTTTATTCTGTATCCGGTTAGTATTATGGTTTTGTTTAAATATTTGTGCAGCTTGAGATTGTGATTGTTAGTGCTGTTGTAATCATCTTCATGCATTTGAATTGGTGTTTTGTTGTTCATTATAGCTAGAGTATTCTTTATAGAAAATTTCCCTATCATTTCTCTTGGATTTTTAGGCGTCAGCATCTAATCATGTAGTGGTAGCGTGCTAATGCTCATATTCAATGTAAATATGTCTTGTAGAAGGAAATGCTTGCTTTATACTTCCTCCATTCTTTTTTATTGCACCATTTGGTATGGCACAAAATGTAATAAATAGTGTAAAAGATGGAGTATGTCAAAAGTGCTTATGTGACAAAAACAAATGATAGAGAGAGAAAAGGTGGGGTAATAATGGTGGTTATGACATGTGAACAAGGCTAAGTTGGGTATTTTGTGTGTGAACAATTGAACATGACCAAAAGGTAAAAAAACATACCAAATAAGGAAATGGTGCAATTAATATGCAACTTCCCAAAAAGGATAATGGTGCAATTAAAAAAAAAAAAAGTATTAATCTTGAACTGTATTAGTTGAAAGTTGTCTAATTATTGGCCATCACAATTGGGTAGTAACCCCCCCCCCCCCCCCTCTTTTTTTTTTCTCTTTTTGGGAGTCATGACCCTTTTGTTGTTGTTGCCTCCTCAATACAGGCAGGAGATGATATCAGCCCCTACAAGAAAGGGAGAGAGAGCACGGTTTGGGGTATGTCCCTCATGGCCGGCTATCTTGGGTATTAGTCTTGCACTTTAACTCACTATTTTATTCCGTGTTGTGCTGCTTTGAGTTTCACATACTGGTTGACTTGATGCACATCTTCCTTTCCTATGAGTTTAACAGTGTGTGAGGAAGGTCTATAGTACCCTAACTTACTACCTGATATTTTTCTGCAAAAATGTTCCCTTATTCCTCTCGTAAGCAGTAACATCCTAACCATCCCCTCTACTCCACTCTTTAGTTAAGGAGGAGGTCAATATGTTTACACTTGAAGCAGAGATATTCTCTATAGGTCTTGCTTAGACTAGAATACGATAAAGTGAGGGAGATACAATATTGCTGAATTTATAGATGATATCATTTGCATCCTATATTTGAAGAAGGATAGGGTGTCGGAGTACTCTTTTTCTTTGCACGTGATCTGGGAATGAGAAACTATACAAAGCACTCTATTTCACCCTATGTTTCTGTGGACTTGTTTCGATTTTTGACAATTTGAGACATCTTGGGATTGTCAGAACATTTTGTTTATGTACTTATTTCCCTGTCTTGTTATAAAGTCTTACTTGTATTTATATGGTGAAATAGTATACTTTGCAGTCTTCTTTCCTGACTTCAATGTCTCAAATAGCTTAAACATCATAAGTGTCATTGTTTCCTTGTGGTGCAGATTTGATGGCTTTACAAGCACATTCCAAGACAAATTATTCAAAGGTTACAATATGGAAATACACAACCAAATATTTTATACAACATTGTGCTCCTGTGTGCTAAGTTTGACTGGTAGGTATACAATGTTAATTCTATTGCTTCATGCATTCCCTGTTGGTCAATTTGTTTTATTCTGATGTGTGAGGATGGATATTAACATATTGAATTTACATAAGATGCATGCCATGTTACTGTTACTTTGAACTCTAAGTCACATGACATGTGTTAAAATTACTGAAACCAAAATCTTTAATACCTTTGATGTGTTTGCTTTGGATCGGATTGATTTCATAAACACAATTACCCGTGGAATGTGGACTTTTGCGCATATTTTGATGAATTCGTTCTTTTGCTTTGCAGGACTTGTATTGCAAGGGCAACTTCTAGCAGCTATAGATTTTATTCATAGACACAATGATTGTTTATACGATATTGTATTGCTCTCTATTGTAAGATTCATATCTTTTCTCTTAATCTATTATTCTAACAGTTCATATGCCAATCTTGGGAAACTCAATTGCAACATGTCTTAATCTTCTATTTTTCATGTAAGTTGGTGGTGCATCATAGTAGCTAATATTGGAGCTTGTACAGGTAGCTACTGCTAGTCAGTTCTTCATTTCTTATACAATTCGGACCTTTGGTGCTCTCACTTTTGCGACCATAATGACTACAAGACAGGTGAGTTTTGCTTTACATGTTTCGTTTTTGTTTCTTTGTTATTGCTGCTACAATGAGTAACTTGCTGAAACAAATGTCCTCTATAAATGCAGCTTATCAGCATCCTACTCTCATGCCTGTGGTTTGCTCATCCTTTAAGCCCATTACAATGGCTTGGAGCAGTAAGACCTTTGACCTTTTGGTATTTTTGTCCAAAATTGCAGTAATATTTGTTTAATAATAATGCATTATCCTCCACCAGGTTATTGTCTTCGGGTCACTATATGCGAAAAGCTTCGGGTTGATAATTTGGCTTCTCTCCTATATTTTCTAAACGGGAAGATGAATAGGTTACGTTATTGTTAAGCAAGTCAGCAGTTCAGCATGTATTAGTGTATTACATTGTAAAACATTATTTGAAAAAAAAAATAATGGCAATTCAGCTAATTTATGTGAAATATTCCCCCCCACCCCCGCCCAAAAAAAAAAAAAAAAGAAATATATATATATATATATATATATATACACACTTAAGTGTATTATGTTAAGCTTGATCTAACCATGAGTTATAGCACTGTCAAAACGGTTTGACAGTTCGGTTTCAGTTCGGTTTGAAATCGGTTCGGTTTGAAATCGGGTCGGTTTGAAATCGGTTCAAATGTCTTACGGGTCGGTTTCGGTTCGGTTTAAATAATTATCGGTTCGGTTCGGTTTCGGTTTATTCTTGAACGGTTTAAATTCGGTTCGGGTTATAAACGGTTCGGTTAGTAAACGATTCGGTGCAAACGGGTTGCGGTTTGTTAACGGTTCGGTGTAAACGGTTTTTAACCCGGTTTAAATTCGGTTCGGGTTGTAAACGGTCCGGGTTGTAAACGGTCCGGGTAGTAAACGGTTCGGTGCAAACGGGTTGCGGTTTGTTAACGGTTCGGTGTAAACGGTTTTTAACCCGGTTTAAATTTGGTTCGGGTTGTAAACGGTTCGGTGCAGACGGGTTGCGGTTTGTTAACGGTTCGGTGTAAATGGTTTTTAACCCGGTTTAAATTCGGTTCGGTTTGTAAACGGTGCGGGTTGTAAAAATTCCAGGTAGTAAACGGTTCGGTGCAGACGGGTTGCGGTTTGTTAACGGTTCGGTGTAAATGGTTATTATCCCGGTTCAAACAGTTTCAGGTTGGAAACGGTTCGGTTGTTTTTTGGTTTAGTTTTATTTTAGTTCGGTTATAACTGGTTCGGTTCGTTCACGGGTTTGGTTCTTCTACGATTTAACATTATTTAGATCGGTTTTATTTCAGATTTACTAAATTACGGTTCGAGTCTGTTTTTGATTTCAAAAAATTTTGTACTACTTTCTAACTTTTTGCTAGTTAACAAGTTTTATATCAAGCCGAGACTTCATCACTTCATATTGAGGCATCATATTATATGCAAATTCTCATTAATTTTATAAATACATATCATGTTATGATTTAAGTTTAGCTATACTGATCTTACTAGTTTATTATGAAGTAGATTATAAAAGTTTAGTGCATTAATGTATTATTGTTTTACTATCAGATTATTATCTGCTTCTGATTTGATCATTTAGTTAATAGTGTCATAATCATGATTTGATGAGTTGTTGTGACATCGAAATTTGCAATTTGGTATTCGATACTTAATTAGTCAACAAGACTGATAATTAAGACTCGTTTATCATTATATATTTGCATAAAGTTATACATGAAGATATTACAGAGTAGTTTGATTTGTACAATGAAAGAAAACATTAATGAAGAAGAAGGTAATGTTGATTCCTTCAATCGATTATACAGATACATAACATATAACCATCTCATATTCTCATAGTTAGATATTATTAGTATAAAGGGATGAGAAACATAAGATTATTATATTTTTGTATATCCTTTACTGGTTTACCCTTAAGGCTTAAGTCACTAATTAGTAATTAGTAATTACTTAATTAGACTAACAAGTTAATCAGAAAGAGTAACTTTTAACTTGAGTCTAGTAGATCAAATACTGAAATGGTATTAGTATATTACCGAGTATGATAGTCTAGTACGCTGCTAATCTGTTATGCAGCTATGCTAAATTGACAATTGCTCATATAGTCATATTAGTCAATCACTCATGTAGACATAACTCATATCTAATTAAGTAATTTGTATTTATGTACTAATCTACTAGTCAACTATATCATTTATAAGTTTACACGATTACAAGTGTATTGCTTATAGGTACAGCTAAACTGATATAAATATAACCATATAACAAATCCGTAGTACTTCTAACTCTCTAAGATATGACATCATTATTTATTGAACAATTTTCGATTTTTTATTAATCGCAACGCCTAGAAATTACACGCTAACCGATTCACATTTTATAATTTAAAGAACTTAATATTTTAATGTGTGTGTTAAAAAAAATTATAAAAGCTAATATTATGAAGGTGAATATCGTTTTATCGGGATCCGAGAAATGTAATTAGTTTTTTTTTTTAGTCATGTAATTAATTAATTGTATAAAAGTTTGTTTAATGTTATTAAAATAAAATTAAAAATTTTGATTTTTACAAAGTGGAAAATTAATTTCATTTTTTTGGTTGACAATTTCAACAAAATATGGTGGGAAATTTCCCTCCAAAAACCAAAAGGAAAAACACATTTTAGATTTAGAATTTAGATATTTTGATTCTTTAATAATTAAATAAACATGTGGTTCATATATTATGCAAAAGAGAAAAAAAAAAAAAAAAAAGTGAAACGTGAAACTGTGAAAGACTGAAAGGCAATTAGGTTCTTCATTCGTCCTCTTCATTCATCCTCTTCATTCCACAGCATTCACCGTTCTTCTTCTTCATCCTCAAATCGAAGCGTTGAATCCTCACTCACTCTCAAGTTATCAACTCTCAAGCTCTGAACTCTTAGCCTTCAATAGCTCAAAGGTAAATTTTAGTTAATTGTTTTTGTTTTCGTTTCGTTTTTTTCGATTTTTTTTCGATCTCTCCATTCTCGTTTTTTTTTTCATTCTCCAGTTCTCCATCTTCAAATCTTCCTCTCCTTCAAGCCGTCACTGCTCAAAGGTAATTTTATGTTAATTTTTTTGTTTTCATTTCAGTTTTATGTTGCTGATTCGTTGTTTGCAGGATTTGCATGTCTTTATTTTTTGATTTTTACTTCTGATTTGTTCATATAATTTCATATAATTTCTGATTTGTTTATATAATTTCTGATTTTTTGATGTTGTTCATGTAATTTTTAATTTTATTGTTCTTGTTGTTCATTTAATTTCTGATTTTTTAATTTTATTGTTCTTGTTGTTCATTTTTTGTTATATCTATTAGTGAGGTGTTCTGGCCTTACCAGCTTTGGCTATGCTCAGTTCTGATCAGGGTTGTGGTTGTAGTACCATGAGCAACAATTGAGTTGATTTGGTTACCTTATTCATGCTCGTGGTTTCTTTTCGTGTTATTAATTGTGCTTGGTTTTTTTCAGGCTGCTGTGTTGTTGCTGGTCTGCCTTTGTGACTGTTTGTTGTTTGTTGAGCATTTAAAATGTATGGCTTTGTCTATAATGCTCTATTAGTCTTCAAATATACAGAATGCTATCCTTTGTTCTATCAGCTGCATTGTTCTCTCATTAGTGTTTCTGTTTATGTGGGTTAATGCTGAATGCTAGCAGGGTTTTTTTATTTAAGTTTGGGTTTTGTTTTGTTGCAAAAGTGCAAGTGCATTCAGATAGGAGTTGTCTAATAGTGTTTAGTATATTTTAGGACTGAATTGTAGATGGACTACCTCAGCTTAGAGCATGTAGTACTAGCTAGGGTCTGTCCTGTGCTGCTGCTGTTCTAATGTCTGGCCAGATCTGCTAGATGTTTTGTTGCAAAAGTGCAAGTGCATTCAGATAGGAGTTGTATAACTTTTATTCTTCTTTGTCTTCCGGTTTTACATCAAGTACAAATGCTCCACCCTCCATCCCAGCTGTTATCGAAAATTCAAATAGTCACTTGGATGATGATATATTCAAGGTAATCAATTTCTGATTATTGTGGTTTACAAAATTAATAATTTTATGTTTTAATTTTATTATTTAATAAAAGCATTTTGTTTGAACTTTTCTAGTATGTTGATAATGATGATGATGAGGAGGATGACACATCAAATCGGCCATCGATGGAGATTGATTCTTATTTGTGTACTCCTCGACAACCAATTTATGAAGGGCAGAAGTACGATGTTCTTAAGTATTGGGAATCTCAAAGTAGTGTGTACCCCATATTAGCTGTTATGGCTAGGGATGTTTTGGCCATTCCTATTACATCGGTAGCCTCAGAGTCTTCTTTTAGCATGGGTGGTCGTATTTTAAACAAGTATAGGAGTGCGCTTTTGCCTAAGAATGTTGAGGCGTTGGTGACCACACAAAATTGGTTACGTGGTTATGATTGTGATATTGAAGAAGACGTCCTTGAAATTGGTAAAGAAGTGATAGATGAAAGTTTTGCATCTAATTAAGAAGACATGGATGTTGTATTGTAGTGAACTAGTGATGCTTAATATATATTGTGTTGCTTCATTGCTAAAATGTTTTAATCTCATAGAACAAGTATTAATAGTTTTAGTCACATTACATATTGATATGTTGTTCCTTTTTTTATCTCGAGTTATTGGTTATTATTTATGTCCCGCTAAATATTCATCTTGACCTGCAACCGACTCACTTCGTAAATGATCTGCATCGACCCACACTGACCCACCCAATAACCACTCCTAGTAGTAAGTAGTTTGTAAACGGTTCGATTTATAAGGATTCGGTTCATAAACAGTTCGGTTTATAAATGGTTCGGTTTATAAACGGTCCGGTTTATAAACGGTTCGGTTTGTAAACGGTTCGGTTTGTAAACGGTTCGGTTTATAACGGTTTTTATGCCAGTTTAAACGGTTTCGGGTTAGAAACGGTTCGGTTTATTTTCGGTTCGGTTTCCTTTCCAGTTCGGTTTAGATTTGGTTCGGTTCTAAAACGGTTTAACATTACTCGGATCGGTTCGGTTTCGGGTTTACTAAAATGCGGTTCGGGTCGGTTTTCGGTTTCAAAAAATCGGTTTTTAATCGGATCGGTTTGAATCGGTTCGGTTTCACCGGTTCGGTTCGGTTTTTGACAGTGCTAATGAGTTAGCATACTATCACGTGTTCACTATGCCCTAGACTAGTCATGCATTGTGCATCACTCGATAAGTGCCCTCGAGTCAGGCGTTTCCACAGTAGCAACACCGCACCACACAGCCACTCTTGTGCCTTCAAAATGCACTTCCTAGCAACACCTCCAAACGTCAAGCAATGCCCCTTGAATGAACTAAGCTAGCCTCAGTGTCTGTGGTATGTCCGATCACTCACGCTATAATGTACAAATGAAGGTTGAGTGTGAAGAGTACACAGGGGAATGCTTACTTGTGTTGAACTCTTAATTTAAATGTTCAAATGATACTTGACAAGTGTTTTAGTCTTGAGTATGTCTTCTATGGTAATTTTATTTTTATTTTAATTATTTTTTTGACAAAAGTAGACTAGTAATCTTTAATTTCCTAAGTACATATACTACCTCCGGTCTAAATTACTCGCAACTTTGGAATATTTTATATCTCACAAATAATATCCCAAAGTTGCGAGTAATTTGGACCGGAAGTAGTAATAAAAAAGATATTTTAAATTAATCTTGGGGTTCTTCGCATTCCATTCACCTGAGAGTATGTAATCCTTATTATCCGTTCTCTCTTAGAAAATCATGTTATGATATTTACATTGTTACATATTTTCATGAACATTCAAAACAGAATCCATAATTAAATAGAATCGCATCCTATAAGCGAAAATTGCTTATTCAAATAGTCCAACCATAGCACCAATTTCTGGTAAGTACTCAGCATTCATTTTCTTAATTTGGAGGGAAGAAAATCTCATCAGAAGTCCTTGTTGAGTGGAATTGCTGCTTGATCTCAGCAGGCACCTTGACACGGCTTCCAGCACTTGTGGTGATAACGCCTTCCAGACTGAAGTCTTCCCTGCTAAGTGTGTATAAACAGGACTGCAAACACCGCGGAAAAGCTATTAGAAATCAATCTTTAGTCTAAATAACAAAAACTAAATATACCAATACAAAACAGAGGACTGAAGGAGTCTGTTTTTTATTTCGGAGTAGAGATGATAGAAAACCACTCCAATCCATCATCATCCGCGCAATCTTTAAAACAACAAAAAACCGGGGCACAATGACTAGATGTCTAGATTGCCTGCTGTGATCGTGGTCACCAATCTCCAACACCCTCTTACCATCAACCCCGACTACTTGAACTTGACCACTACATCTGACGATGAAAGTCACCTGGTAGGCAGAGTCACAAGAGAACCCTGTAGAGCACATAGCTTTTCCATTGAGCCTAATAAGGTCAGCCCCGAGGCCTACCTCACCCACCAAGGGCAAGTTCTTGGTGTTTAAGACGACCACCTTTCCACCACCCTTGATGTCAATATCCAGTGGAGCTTCGTCACAATTCAATGCCATTCCATCACAGTGTTCCTTCTCGGGTTTAGGCATTTTGTGTTCCAAAAGTTTTGGTGCATATCCTCTTACACTTTATGTGATTAACATTTTAAACATGTGATGACTCCACATAACAAATAAAGGACTACTACCTTTAAATACTTCATGTGGTGTCACTATGAAATAACTTTGTGCCAAAAGAAGTATGATGCTAAAAAAAAGTCACCTTGAATCTATTGAACAGTTAGTTGAATGATTATAAAAGCAGAATGTATCCAGAAAGTAAACTTGTATATATAACGTATAATGCCTTTATTTCAATCCTTTAATGGAAGACCATTCGCCTTCTCAAAATTTACCTCTTAGACACCACACTCGTAAACCTTTACAGGTAAAATAAAAGTAAAACATCAACAATATCTCAATCATAACATTTTCCCTTTTTTTTTTTTTTTTTTTTTTTTTTTGTAAATATGGAAAATAAATCAAAACGACACACTGCAAACCAACAACAACATAAAACGAAGTACAGAAGTATAACCCAATTATCAACACTCAGGTGTAAGGGTATGATCTCTCTTAGAATCCTTGCAATAATCATAAACCAAGTAGTTTCTTTGGGCCCACGTCATCGCCGCGACTTGTTGTGGGCTGAGGTTATTGGGCCCAGAAGGTGACATTTTTGGAAGATGACATGATCCTTTAGGCCCACCAAATTCACAGCCCGCAATCTTGAAATTACGATATTGCCCCACAAAAGGTTGATAATTGTAATTGGCTTTGATTTTACCATCTTCAGTGGCCCAAGATGAAGCATCCCAAATTGATCCATACATGTACATGGGCCTTTGTGGAAACGTGGCATCACTTTTTCTAGGGTACCTTCTTATAGGCACATCATCCACTAAGAATCTGCAACGTGGCACATTAAATTTCATTAATTTCAACATTATTGTATAAATAATATATAAGGAAGATGCTACAAATAGTCCTTAGGGCTACATATTAAGTACTAAATACACACTAGAAAATCTTAGGAAATCATAAAAATATAAACACTAATAACACTGATTTACGCGTGTTTTTGTCATAATCTTATAATTTTATTCAATTTTCAAGAGTGTATTTAATACTTACATATAGCAATTAGAGCTACATCTAGCATCACCCATAATACTCCGTACATTATAGTGATAATAATAATAGTTATATTGATTTTTGAGGAAATAGGACAAATGTGTTTATGCCATTTGTCTTAGAAATCAAAACTTTGATTTGTGACATCCTTATAATTATGGCCCGTTTAAAATTTGGCTTATTTGGTCACTTTACAACATTCCTTTTCATGTTTAGATGGGCTATTATCATCCCTACATTTTACATCAAAGGGACCATTTAAGATACTTAGGTTTCTATTTTTAATGTGTTTTTTTTGTAAATTTTCATGATGTTACATCATTTTCATTTGGAGGAGGTGGTGGAGGTGGATACCCTGATTAGGACGATGTAGTCGACGGGTTGAGTTTTCATATTAGTATAGAGGTAAGGGGAGATATGCACGAGTTTGAGGCGATGAATTATATATACTAGTATGTTTATATATTTCTCGCAATAAAAGAAATCATAAATCCTAATAGTAATTAGGTAAAGTTAAAATTCTGCTATAGCTTATTTTAAAAAGGGAATTTCGATTGTAATCATATGTTAGAAGCTTTTCTCTTACATGATGGATGTTAATAAAAGAAAACTACTATGAATGTTATCAACTTGTTTTTATTGGTTAGCTTAATTGTGATTGTATTTAAAATCTTAATTGGTTGTCAAACTCATATGTGATATTGTACCATAATTTTCCATTGGAAGAGTGTTGGATTATATAAATCTAGTCTACTAATTATTCATTCATTTCTCTGATAAAGCAAAGATCTTAAAAATTAACGAATCATTCAATTAAATTATGAGAGTACTTTATATTTCTTCACCAATAATAATAAGCCAAGCACTAGCTTAGCCATCTATGATCAATAATCATTATTAACGTCATTATCTTAATTATAAATTATTATTGATTGATTGTGATCTTTCCCATAATAGTATCCACAATTATTGTTCATGACTTGTCACACAAGTATTGGTAGTTAATAATTACTCTTTCTTCCAAAATCCTAAAGCAATAAACTAAATTTCATTCTATGACTTAAATATTTTTATTTTAATATTAACCATCAATTCTAACATCTTATGTTCTAGAGTGATGCTACACATACAATGGTTGTATGTGGGCTACCACATACAATACCATTGTAGGTATGCCACATCAAAAGGAAGGAAAAAAATAAGAGGGAAAAAAGGTGGGCTTCAAAATGCAAACCAATTAGAGGTTGCCAACAATGGTTGTATATGGGTGGCCCTAGTTTATAGTTTAAGTCATTAGGATTTTAAAATTATATTCTATCAAATTCAGTTCATCCCAAAAATCATTGGTCACATATGATCTAAATCATTTCTAAGGAATTCAACCAAAATATCGAAACCATCCTTTACTCTTTTAAATGACAAACCTCCAATTCTTCACCGTATATACCATTTAAATAAATTTTTATTGAATTTTTTTTTTCCTCGCTACGATATTGTTGTTTGTTATACGAAAATTTTAAAATTATATAGTTATTGAAATTTTGAATGGACATACTAGAATTGTAATGTATTATCTACGAGTAGATTATATTTTATTTAACTTATTTTGACTTATTTCAAATAAAATATTATACTCGTAATTAATTCTCACAAGTTTAATTTACAATTACTACACCCTTTAATATTTTTAAGTTGAACTAAGTTCTACATAAAACTAACTTGTTAAGATTTGACAAAATACAGTAATTAAACTCATTCAAAGAAATCAAATTAGTCATATAAAATAGTCAAAAGAAATTTAATGTTGAACATTAAATTAATCAACTGCCCTAATGCAATACGGATTTGGTCACTTTTTAGTAAAGGTACCAATAATTGAACCTAAAATAGTACGGCCAAATATTTATATAATTGATTGTCAACCTCCATTATTAATTCCGACAAAGGTGATCTAGATTAAGTTATGGCGTACTACTCTTCCTTAAGTTTGTGCATGTTAATGTCAATGTTTTGGTGAGGTGTCGGTTCATCTTTTTTTCAAGGGTATACTTCTTGTCCCCCTCTTTTTTACAATATTGTACGTCCAATGGTCCATTTTCTTATTATGGGATCTTAATTAACCTTTATGATTTATGGTTGTGACCATTGAGGGGAACTAGGGCCGGGGGTCGTTTTTGGGGTTGGTTGCCTATGGAACCATTGCGTTATAAATGTACTACTCTCTTCGTCCCTAAATTACATTCCTAAAAACTATAAACGAGGACCGACTCTCAGATTGAAAAGATGAGTCATTTTCCGGATTTCCTCTTAGCATCGTTCTTCACCTCTATATTAATCCTTGATAAAAACCATATAATTTTTATCGGCTTGTGTATGACAAAGTAGCGACGTGTATCTCTTAAAGCCCAAGAGTTCACTCTTATTCATTAATTTTAGGTTAAGTACAACGTTGATACGCTTCCTCTAATTTTTCTAGCATGACAATACTATATGTTATATTATTATGGACTCACACTCTAGTTAGGATATCCCATCAATCTCTATAAATCTTTTCTATCAATAATTAATTATGCCATGAATAAATCTAAAAAAGATACGCCTTGCTGTTAGCTTATGAAATAGACGTCATGTTAACAAAAGGAAAATACCATTTTTTCACGTCCATTGTTCATATTGCAATCATACAAACTAACATACAAAAACTATGAAATAAAAACAAATTAAATTAGTTTTAATTTATAGAATAGGGCAATACTGATTTTACAGGACGAAACATCCTTGTTATTGTTAAAGATCGATCATAGGACAAATTTTGCACCTTTTGCTCTCGAGTAAGCAATACTCTTTTAAGGTTATGTACAATTTATTGAGAAGGTAAGAAATTTACCACTTATAAAATTGTATTAACCGACAAATTGCCATAAGCCATATATATATAATGTGTACGTGATTTAAATTTAGTGGTTAAATATTACTGTATCATTATATATATAAATCGAATAACTAAAAGGAAGAATAGGGAAAACGATACGTACATTATGTCATTTTGTGACCAAAATATGGCATAGTTGTGAAAATCTTTGGTAGGATCAAACCATAAATGAAACTTCATTTCTCTTCCAATAAGCCTTCCATCTCCACTTCCTTCTACATAAACATTTGTTTGTAATACATATGGTTTTCCAGGGGTTGTTCCAAGAAATTCAATATCAACTTCATCATGGTGACCAGGAAAATCTTCTTGATTTGAAAGCTGCCAAAAATTAATTACAATTTTATATAAATAATTATTTAATTATAGGTAATCACCACCTAAAAGTTTCTTTAATTAAAGTATTTTCTTTCTTAAATTAAATTCTTTTTTGAAAGTTAAATGGATGGAGTGCATGACTATATATAGTCTCTTTATACTCACTCTGTCACATACTCACATTACTACAGTCTTAATTATACTCGCTCTGTTACGTGTCTGTATAATTTTTTGTACAGAAGTGACTAATTATATGAAGTCGGATTTGTAGAATTTTAAATTTTCTTACGTAGAAGGATGTGATCACTCCGGCAGTGTAGCCGGGTTGGAGCTTCATTGCGGCACTGAAGTAACCCGATTGATACCGTTTCAAGGACTTGAATCCACTACCTATTATCAACAAAAAATATTAGTACACCATTTAATTCAAAAAATAATACAAACTTTATAAAACTAAAATATTTAACAAAATTCTTAAATGTAACCATAAATATAAGTGGTTATAGAGAAAATGTTAGATTTATTGGCAATTTAATTTAATTAATGTTAGATGGATTTCAATTTTATCATTTGGCTTGAATTAAAGTTGTTTTAATTGAGTTTTGACATAAAAAAGATTGATAATAAGTAGGTTCATAGTTCATATGAATAGTTATATGTCTCAGTCAAGCCATTGATATGAGGTTTCATTTGGTGGTTTTGATTATAAATTTAACCATTTGAAATAGCACCTAAAATATTAGAAATTCTTTATATACTGTAAATAGTAAGTCCAAAATTATGGTGCACTACTATTTATGATATGACAAATAAAAAAAGAACACCACGACTATACTATTACTTAAATAAAAGTTATGTATATTAAACTATTGTTTAGTAGGCTTAATAAAAAAAATTAAGTTTATCTCCTCGATATATTGGTTATTAGGTTATCACCCATGCTAACTTTTACTAAAAAAGTCACTATAACAGTGTTAATGAGGATTGAAAACCGTAATTCGGAAGTTTATGAGAGTGATATGCATATTAACAAAACAAATTAGAGAGCTCTTAGCCAAAACAAAAAGGAAAAAAATAATAATAATTGATTGATTACCAGTACTACGGTCGAGCCAGACCGTGACAGTGCCTTGTTGGAACGTCTGATGTTGAGGACCCCATAGAGTTCTATACCCTTGATTGAAACTCAAAGGAGCAACTTGGGAACTAGGGTAGTAGCCAGGGGAAGGTTGTGCATTGCATAAATGAGACACAAGAAGAAGAGTAATGAGACACACAAAAGGGGCCATTATTTTTTTTCCTATATTTTGTGGGGAAAAGGAAATAGTAATATTTAAAAGAAGTTGTACTAATGCTTTGTGTTTAGGGATCAAGAGAAATGAGTATATATTGAAGAGTGTGCTAATTGAAGTGGGTATAAATAGGAGGTATTAAATGACCCTATGAAAAGAAGTTGATTTGGAAGTTACAAATAAAGACAAAAATAGCAACATCTTGTGAATAAATAATGCACAAATTTTCTTTCTCTTACACTCTACATAATTGGCACTTTTATTTTTTGCCCTTCTTGACGATTATTTATAGAAAATATTATAGTTGGACTAAGACACTTGGACACTTGGTTATTGGAGTTAGTTATATGGCATTATCTTAGGGTCATGTGAATCCAAAAGGTGTGGGTATGTAGTTTCACTGATTTTGCGCTCAAATTGGCTACTATTTTCACTACATTGTGATGAATTTAGGTGATTTGGTAGGTAATCGGTTTCTACATGTACGCAACATTATTGTATTAAACTATAAGTTACACACTTATAAGTCATGTGGCTAAATATCAATTATAGGTTCCAAGTCTTCCAATGTCCATACTCTTTCCGTCCAAATCAAATTCTTACTGGTAGTTGTTTTTGATTGCACATAAAACAATAAAATTATAGTTAGATGTACAAACGTTATATGATTTATAATCTAAAGTAGCTTTAAATGTGAATTATTCTACATACATTTATTAACTAGGTATACTAAGCTAGGTTTGTTGCGTGTATCTATCAGTATCTTATGCCTTTGAGATTATGAATTCGTGTTTTTCTAATTACATGTGTGCTTAGCTTAGAGAGATGATCCCTTACCCTTTCATTTATTTCTAAGCATTTGCCCCCCAAAAAATTGGACTAAAAATGTGGGTGGATGGAATGTTTCTTTTTATATTGTTTATGTAGAAAAGTACGCAACAAGTAAAGTGATCCACAGAGAGCCTTGGCGATATATATAGACAAACACATAGATCTAGTACAATAAAAATATCGTTTTCCCTTTACATGTATAAATAAATAGGCTAGCAAGAAATATAATAAAGACATTTAGGGTTCATGCCTCTTATAGATTTGTTGCAATTAATTTGGGACAACTTTACAAAAAAAGTGATGCAAACGAGTGTTCTCTCCTTTTTCCTGGAAAGGTAGCTTTTCGGCGTACTTATTGCATCTGGCACTAAGAACTCAAGTTCTTAGAGCGTACCTGCCTCCATGATGTGAGTAATTCCGGATGAATGGAGTTATATTGATTTCTTAAAATTAAATTGCGTACATTAATTTTAAAAGACTCGTCAAGTATGTTTTACTTATAGTAAAAGTTTTTTTTTTTTCCTTCTTATGCTACCATTTTATTTTAATTTGAGTGGTGCATATCATGTTTGTACTTAGGAAATCAATTTGCATGTATTTCTTTCAAAAAAAAAAAAAATTTGCATGTATGTATTAAGCTTTTCTAATTGTTTTTCTGGCCATGACAATTTTCTTAATGATGGTTGTATGTATCAAGGGTATAGAACTCTATGACAATCCACCTTTGCTTTTTTCATTGATGGTACTTGTAAAGGAATTTGAAGGAGAGTACCACGGTCCACGGAGTTGTACAATTCAAAAGTTGAATTAAGTTATTTGCACCTTTTTTTATTTGGGTCTTTCCCCTTTCCCCTTCTCTCTCTCTTTTTATTTTTATTTATTTATTTTTTTGAATCGCCCTTTTCTCTTTTCTATTTGTTGTACTAACTTTTACAAAAAATTTAATTGAATTGAAGTTGCAAATTATTTAAAGCCTAGTATATCTTTGCATGCATGCCTCATCATATCATATAACAAATATATAAAGCTAAAATTTTAGCCAGGTCACGAGACAGCGACACTTGGCATTCCAACTTTTCGTCAAGTATCGCGCCACGTTGGATGTCTTTAGATAGACTTCATAATATAAATTAATTAGTTTCAATCAAATTTGGATAGAATTTTAGAATAAATTGTTAGCTGAGAGTTTTATTTTCGATAAACTAATATATAAAGCAAAACTTTTAGCTAGGTCACGAGACAGTGACACTTGACATTCCAACTTTTCGCCAAGTGTCGCGCCACGTTGGATGTACTTAGATAGACTTCATAAGATAAATTAATTAGTTTCAATCAAATTTGGATAGAATTTTAGAATAAAATTATTTGTTGAGAGTTTTATTTTCGATAAAATACCAATATTTCATAAGTATAAATTGAATTATAATTTTATAACTCTAAAATATTTCATAATCAATTCCTAACTAACTGCGTATTAAACATATATTTTGAAATTTGACATTTTGATTAAAAATTTATTTCAAAATTTAAAAACAACCCAGGCATCGCACGGGGCACAAAACTAGTACTCCCTCCGTCACAAAAAGAATGACCCATTTGGGTTGATTACGCGGGTATTAAGGAAGTTAAGTAAAAAGAAGTAAAGTATATTGGAAAGATAAATTTACATGGGGTTTGTAAAAAAATAGAGAGAGAAAGTAATAAAATAACATGGAAAATCAAATTTTCATATGGGGAAGCTAATTTTGCACAAATATTGTTGCAAATTGGTAGTGTTTTAATGCAAATGGGTCATTCTTTTTGGGACAAAGTTTTGGCCAAATGGGTCGTTCTTTTTGGGACGGAGGGAGTACATTTATATTACCTTTCCTAATCCCAAGCAAGTTTTTTTTTTTTTTTTTTTTTTTTTTTTTTTTTTTTTTGGTGAATAAATTAATTAAATCAAGTTTTAAGAAAAAATTGACAATATAGTTTGTTTATATATTAATATATTTGAATATGGAGAGCAATAAACCATTATTAACATACTCCCCCTGTTTCTTATTTCTTGCAACAAATGGGGGGTGCACAGTTCCCAAGTCAAAAGTGTTTAAGCATGATTATTAAAAAGTAAGGGCATGTAAATAATGTAATTAAGGGGAGAGGGTGAATAATTAATTAAACAACTAAAACTCCAGCACCACCACCAATGAACGTGCAAGCCACCCAGAACCACTAGCAACGAAATGCTACCATCTGGTACCACCAACGAAACCACCCAGAACCACTCGAAACCACCTAGAACCACCCGAAAACACCCAATGAAACCACTTCTACCAAAACCACCCAGATCTAGAACCCACACCACCCACAACCGCCACCAAGACCCACCACACCAAACCCACGAAACCACCAAAACCCCTCCTCCACCCCTACAAAACCACCGACACCACCGAACCTAGTTCTGATCCACGAACCACCAAACCACCAAAACCACCGACTCACCAAACCACCCACAAACCAAACCACCTAAACCACCGACAACCCAGCAACCTAAACCGCCGACAAACCCCTGTGAAACCCCATCGACAACACCACACCTCCCCGATCTAGGTTGATGAACCGCCAAAACCACCCACGATACCACCAAAACCAATGAAAGCACCAATAAGCCAAATTTGATTATGAGAGATGAAGAAGATGAAATAAGAGATACGAAGGAGAGAGAAAGATGATGGGGAGATGATTTAATTTGGGTGGGAAGGGTTAGAGATAATTAAATCGGATTAGGCCTGATTAGGGTTATAATGGGTAGTAATTATGTGTAGTGTTATGTGTTAAATTTTTTAAAATAAGGGTATAGTATATTGGTCTTTTTGGCAGAAAAAAGTTTCCAAATAAGGAAAAAAAGAAGTTTGTTGCAAAAAATGTGAACCATCCAAAAATGGTAAATGTTGCAAGAAATAAGAAACGGAGGGAGTATTTCACTTTGGAGAGCAATAAACCATTATGGATAAAGTTTAGGGTTCAAATAACAACTCAATACTATTGATGAATATAAAACAATTACAGAATGTATTATGTGAAATTGGACTCAGAGTAAGTCCTATGATCCTATCATATCACTAATGGCAGCATTTTAATAACTTAATTTTACAAATTAATGACTTACATAATCAAATTTATAGCTTATATTGATAATATAATAACATATATTATTTACCATTTAATAAATTAACAATTTAGTAACTTATATTGACAATTTAATGGCTAATAGCCTAATATCAATAATTTTTAGCTTTTTTCAGCAATTTAGTGACATCTACAACTAATACTAAAGTAGCAATCGTTTACATTATCCTTTCCTAAAACTAGACACATGTCAGGTTGTCATTTAAAATTTTCCCTTCAAAACTATAAATGATGTCATCATGATATTTTATTTGATTTAATTAAAATTATGATCAGCTATTTTATTATGGATCTCGCTAACGAACGCCCTCGGGGCGTTGGATAAGCATTTAAAATCTTACCTAAAGTGGTATTAATTTGGGAAAGCAAGACAAATTCTTGCGTCGATCGGTGTAATTAATGTTAATTTTAATTTAATCCTTCTACTTTTAACTAGCTTATCCAATGTCCCTAGGGCGTTTGTTAGCATTTGTCTTTTATTATTAGTGTCAAATTTCGAAAATTGTTTATCCATCTAATAATAATAATTTAATTTTTCTTCCTCACATAGCCCTTTTATTATTCACTTTTTATATGAATTCTAAATTTTATTTTTAATATTTGATGCATTATTTATTTTATATTTGTCTGTGATTTAATTATTTATGTCAACCATTTAATATTTCCTCCGTTATTTTTTAAGTTGGCACGCTTTGAATGGACTTTTGCACTATTTACAATATATATTTGACTATCTATAGTATTTATTATTACAGAGCTTACGATAAAATATAGTCATGTGAGATTTTATATTGACAATTTAATACTACATCCATTCCAAATTATATTACTGTTTGACTTTGCAGTTTGTACGGTCTTCATCAAGACAGACATTTGATTATCAATATATTTGAATATTACCAAGTATTGGGTGCCTCATCACCTAACCATTGGTGAGACATTTCTCATCACCAACAACCTTCCTTCGCTGCTCCCATTCCATACCTCAAGCCACGATAATGGGAAGTACTAAGCTAGTAGCCTTGAGTTGATAATATCATGTATTTTTTATGATAATTCATTGTTTGAATGATATTAATCATGTTAAATAAAAGACCGTCTTGATTGGATGATATCTGTCAGATAATGTAAAACTCCTTGATTAGAGTGATTTTCATTGATCAATATTTATAGGGTTACAATGAGAAACCTAATCATATTATGTAACTATAAGATATGTACAGATATCAAA